CGGGCAAACCCCACATCAAAAATAGTGCCGACAGTTTTCAACCAAGTCTGCAGAGAATTTGAGGCTCAAGTGGAGATGATAATCAAATATCTTAACAAGGCCAAGTTGGAGATAGAAAAGTTTGCAAACTTACGAATTGAACATTATGGATGAGAAGAGAACAAAGTGGATGATCTTCTTTCAAGGAACATATGGTTTTGAGAAAAGGCACCATGAAGACTTTTATAAATGACCAAAGATGAGCTAGAGATAGTGGATGTGAAGATCGAGGGCACAAAAAGTTGGATGGATCCCTATACCTACTACTTAAAAACTAGAAAAATATTCAAAGTAACAAATATTCAAAAATTCAAGTTTAAAATTGCCCAATACCTCTTCATTGGAGATAAGCTTTTTTGTAGGTCAACCGCTTTATTACTCTTAAGGTGCGTGAAAGGAAATGAGGTGAATGAAATCCTCCAGGATGTGCATTCTGGCAAATGTGACATCTACTTCAAAGGAAAGACTTAGTGCACTGTATTTAAAGGCAGGGCTATTTCTGCCTGACCCTCACAAAGGACACAGAGGAATTCAATTGAAGGTGCCAACAATGTCAAAAGTACTCTCTATTGTAACACCAATTAACCCAATAATTTATCTCTAACCTTTCTCTATTTGGGAGCTTGATATTCTTGGGTTGTTTCCTCCCTCAAAAGGGCAACAACAAAATTCTCTTTGCCATTGTAGATTATTTTTACAAAGGGATAAAAGCTAAAGCTCTTGTAAGAATTACTACATAAGTCATTTGAAAATTTATTCAAATGGACATTATTTGTCAATATGGCTTACCTTTAACACCCATGACTAATAACATAACCCAATTTGCTGATTCGGGGGTGAGAGATTTTTATCAAAGTCAGGGAATCAATCTCAAATTTGCATCCATAGATCTCCCTCGAATAAACGGACAAACAGAGCTTGCAAACAAGGTCATTCTAAATCTTCTAAAGAAGAAGGTTGAAAGTGCAAGAAGAAATTGGGTGGACTTGCTCTTCTCCATCCTATGGGTTGTCTGCACCACTCCATCATCGACGATCAGGGAAACCCTTACATGCTTTCTCTTGGAATGAAAGCGATGTTGTCGGTTGAATACAATCATAATACCCAAAAGGTTGCGACTGCAATGTCCTTCGATGAAGAGAATCTCACCAACTGGTAGGATGCGATTGGTGAAGAGTGATGCTTACCCTTAATCTATTAGAGGAAGTTCGAACCAATGCATCACTCTGAGAGAAAAAGATAAAAAGAAGAGATGCTTGATATTACAAATAGAATGTTCGAAAAAAAATATTCTCACTCAAGGACCTAGTTCTAAAGAAAGCTAATCCAACCACGCTGGGAGAACCAGTCGGCAAGCTCAACCAGACTTGGACTGATCCATTCATCATCAACCAATAAGTTGCCCATGGAGCTTACAAGCTAAAATTGTGCACTGGGAAAAAGATTAATCAAACGTGGATTGGAGATGACCTAAAAAATTTTTTTCCTTGAAAGAAACTAAATTGCACGTGTATTTTAGAAAATTAGCTTTAAAACTCTCATTATTATGAATTTACTTCACATGGACTTTTGTTTTATTATCGTGCACTTGCGAAAAAACTAGCTATGTAACTGTGACCTAGATCTAACTATGCTCGGGCTAAAATTTCAATGATTCGTACAACAAAATAATACTCATGGAGCTATGATACCAAAAAAAACATGACCAAAAGAAGAATTTTGACAGTTGGTCAAAATAAAAGAAAATGATGACCAAAAGAAGCATTTTAACATTCAGTCATAATAAAAGGCAGAAGACCACACAAAGCATTGTTATGCTCGGTCACAGACCTTAGCCTTGAAAGTTTTTCTAAGTCTTGAGTAAATCTTCATAGAAGTTTTTCAGCCCAGCGACGACAAATTTCTGTGAAGGTATAAGAGAAAACAACCCTGGAACAATCACCATCGATCTCCCCTAGGAGGTGGGGATCGAATAAAACAATTGAGACTAGTTAAGAGAAAATTTTTGTCTGCCTAAATGTTGACACTGAAAACGAAAACTGGAAAACTGATCGTGACGTCGTGATGTCCGACTCACATACATTTGAAAATCTATTATAAGATAATCATGTTTCTCGAGGTCGACCGACCATAAAATGCCCGTCACAGATTCATCTAATTCAATTTTTAAGGGGAACCAATCTCTCTCAACATTTATCAGACCAAGGATGGAATCCAAATTCATGAAGAACTTCCGCCACTTCTTCTACAATGGAATGCAATAGTCATGAACTTTCTTCTTATTTCTTATAGGTGTGTGGAGGAAGGAATTACATCGAAAGCAATAGCCTTGTCCTTCCGCCTATGTGTGGCTACTCCAACTAACTCGGGGTCACGTTCCAAAATTTCATCAGAATTTTTTGTAGTTGGGTCAGTTGGTGTTGAAGGGGATTGTTAATCCCAATTTTATATGACAGTACAATTTATGTGGTTATAATCTTAATTTTTTCTTACTTATGATTCTTACTTTACAACGGTGCCAAAAACTTGATTCTGAGCAATGTCTAGACAAAAGCTTGACTTCGAAGCAAATAAGAACACATTTATTATATTTAAATATGAGATACTGCACAAGTATACGTATCGTTATCAAGTAATATAGAATTTTTTTATTAAACCCCAAATATCGAACCCATAGAGAAAAACTACAATATGCAACTAAAATTAGAAAAAATAAGATAATAAATTCTATTATGCAAAATATTCTCACTCAAAATGTAGATGCTATAATAGGAATGAAAGTTAAATTTTTTTTTTAGTTTTGATAATTGAAACTAAAGTAAACAACTAATTAAATTTAAGTGATATTTGTAAGGTAAATGTAATATAAATAAAATATCTTTTTCTTTATCATGAATCAGTAACAAATATATGAATTTTGTTGTGGAGGTATTCAAATTGTGCTGTATAAAATTGGAGCAATAATATTCTTTACAACTACTAAAGATGCTATAAAAAACATTAGCTAATTTAAAGTTTTAATAGTCTTGAAGATGGGTTAGGTAGGGAAGATACTAGCTCTCACTCTAGAGTTCCCTCTTCTCCCTCTACCCGGGGGCTAATATCTTGTATTAAAACCTAAAACTATAAACCAAATTGGGGGCTTTAGCCCGCCACTCTAAAGTCCTCTAATTCTACACACTTCAAAGTTTATTTCCCTATTTACTTACACTCAATCATATGAATTACTTTCTCATCCATACATTCTCATGTGATTTTTACCATTAGTTGACTGAGACAATACCATCGCAAATCTTACATGTTCTCACAGCAAATATTAACATCTTATTTGGCCAAATCATGAAATAAATGAATTACAAGGTTTAAAATCATCGCAACTTATTGCAACATTAAGGATTAATACTTCACACAACTTCCATCCAATACTTAATCACTTATCATTTTAAGGAAAAAGATAAAGAAAACTACTCAAAATTCATGGAGAAAATACAACAACACTTAAGTTTGAAAGTAGAAATCATGCAAACAAACAAGAAGTCTAAATTAAAACCAAATATAGTCACAATGATAAAAAATTATCTCAAATCCTCTCTACCAAACTCTTGAAGTTCCTTTGAATCTCTTCTCTTTCTTTCTATTACAATACTCTCAACTTACACACTACAACCCCTTTCATATTATCTCTAAAAGTATCATAATTAATCTAAGAGA